CACACACACACACACACAAGTGCACAGGTGAGTACATACAAGAGAGAACCAAGTTCAGAAACAGTGGTTGACGCATTCAGTTGGTTTCTCTCATTTTACAGAAGTTACACTTCTCCTGGCAGAATCTAGGCCTTTGTCATGAGTAGACTGCAAAGCCCTTCCTGTCCCCCTCCCCCCAGCACTGTCCCTGGCTATGGGTTTGTGATTGGCTGCCAAAGACACGCCTCCTCCACTAGCACCATCACCTGGCACCATAAAAATTAGACTAAGACGTGTCTATATCAATCCCATCCCTCCTCCCCAGTCTGAAGATGCCACCCAGAGAGCTAACACTGCCTCACCCCCTCCACACTACACGTAATACCATTGATTTCATTGACCAGGGGATCTAGACAACAGGAGCGGCTGAATTTTAAAACTGACTTTCATTCCATCTTCACTTGTCACCGACAAAGATCTCCAAAAGCAAATCCTATTAAGGTAATCTCCTTTCATTAAGATCACTAAGAAATTAAACATAGGCTATTATTTTCAATAGTGAAGTATTGTTTCGTGTTGTAGGAAGAGTGGGAGAGAAATTAATGCATGGATTGCTTGACCTTTCTGATTATTGTATATTTGAGCTGCTGAACAAAGGCCNATTAGATTTCTGCAGGTGCTTTCTCTCTACCTTCATTTCTTCACCTCTAGCATTGAAAACTATCTGTCCTGCATCTCTTTCCATCTGAGTTGATGTCCTTCTTAAAATCTGATGTGACAAAGTGACTTTCACTGCAGGATTAAAGTCTTCCAGAAGCATTTGATTATTAACAATGGACTCCTAAAAAATTAAAAGATTACAGTTCTAATGAGTCCATGCATAGGGTCTGGTCATTGAGTGACCCCACACCAAACAACAAAGGCTTACTCACCTGAGCAGGAACACACACACACACACACACACACACACACACACAGAGCAAACATAGGATCCTGCTTACTAACTGCACTACAAGTGTACTTCAAAAAGTTTGAGGGGGTGGGCCGGCCTGGTGGTGCACTGGATAAGTGCGCCGCTTGGGAAGTGCGGCGGCGCTCCCG